TATAACTAGAATAAGGAACCCCCAGAATAGTATAGGCAACTAGTGAGGCCCCTATAGTAGACTTCATTCTTGCGTAGACTTTTTGCCCCCCTACACCGGGAAGCTCCAAAACTTTGGGATGCTAGCAAAGGTTCAGACTCCTGAAGACAGGGTTGACGGTTTAGGGTTTAGGGGTTTATGGCTCAGGGTTTAGGGGTTTACGGTTTAGGGACACTAGGCTTGCGAGACCCGAGACAAATTTCACAAAGGCCCTTATCCTAAACCATTAACCCTAATATAGGGGCTTTAGTAATGGGAACAGTAATAAGGAACCACCAAAATAGTATTAGTACTTATTTAGGCCATTTAGTCAAGTGACGGACCGCGGTTGTCCTGGGTCTCCTCCCAGGGCTCAGAGCTGCTTGGGCTTCGGTCTTTTGGTTTAGGATATTATATCTATATACATATATATATATATGTATAAGTATAAGTAAAAGTATAAGTATAAGTATAAGTATATGTATAAGTATAAGTATAAGTATATGTATATGTATATGTATATGTATATATGCATATATGCATATATGCATATATGCATATATGCATATGTGTGTGTATATATATATATATATGTATGTGTATATATATATATATATTATATATTATGGGTTTGGGCTTTTAGGGCTGTTGGGCTAAGGATTCTGCGCTGAGGGTGCTGAGCTTGAGGCTGATGGATTTAGGATTCAGGGTTTAGGCTGTTGGGCTTAGTATCAGGTTTAGGGTTTAGGGTTTAGGGTTTAGGGTTCCGTGTTGAAGAGTTGCAGAATAGGGACGGCAGGGCTGTTGGCTCTACGACTTTGGGTGTCCGGTTCTTGGGTCCTCGCGTGGGCTTAGGATTTTGGGTTTGGGGCTTTGGGTCTTACATTCGCTAAGGCGCTTTGTGTCAATTTGATGTGGAGTTCCGTAGCTTTTGGCAGATTTGTTAGTCGCGCCGGCATGCCCGCGGGAAACCACATAAGAAATCACCTCCAATGGTCTTGAGGAGCCGGATATACACTCACGACAACCCTAGCACAGAGCCTACCTCGCCCTCTCCAAACCGCTGTAGATCTGATTGATCGAAAACCCCGAAACCTAAACCCTAAACCCCAAACCCTAAACCTAAACCCTAAAGCCCAATACTAAACCCTAAACCCCAAACCCTAAACCCTGAACCCCAATACTAAGCCCCAAAACCTAAACCCTAAACCCTAAACCCCAACAGTAAACCCTAAACCCCAAACCCCAAACCCTAAACCTCATAGTCCTCCACCCTGCACTTGGAATAGTTGCGACGGCAGTTCTTGGACCATGGCAATGGTGGGTAGCACCTCAGAGTAGCCGGGGATATCGTTTAGGGCTGCGGGCCGGGTTTGGAGTTTAGGATGTCGGGTTATAGTTATGGGCGTACGGCCCAGGTCTCTGGCGTAGCATCATAATTATGGGGATGTAGATAATGAACACTAGATCCCATAAAGTCGTGTATAGTTCTGCTAGAATACACCCCGGATCCCTAGTGCAATTCTGAAGCCTGGGCGGTGGGACGGGGGAGGTGTTAATTGCACGTGCGTGTGACTGAAAGAAATTGCTCGTTAAACGCGGCCCTAGACCCAAGGTGATTGAGGCGTAAACTGGGTTGGCCTTTAGACACCCTGAAACATATTTATAAATAGAGTCCCTTATAACCCCAGATAAGGAAAATAAAAAATGCCCCAAAATCCAACCTAGTAAAGCATTGAAAGCAGCCGTCTGACAAAAAACGACCCTGACTTCATCTTCCCCGGCACGAATTACTGTTCAAAGATTTTTGAGTTCGGTGGGAAAGTATTCCTGTAAAACATCAAGGCGCAAGTTTCCACTCCTCCGCTCACGGATGCACAGGAACTCGTAGCTCTTGTATCCTGTCACTTGAGTCACGAAATTTAGGGTTTGGGGATGTTGAAAGCTTAGGGCTTATAGTTTAGGGATGTTAAGGGCTGAGGGCTTATAGTATAGGGGCCGACGGGTGCCCCTCACCGCTTCGCAAGAGCGCTTCAGGGGTTTTAGGGCTTTGGGGCTTTCGGGTGCGGCGGGTATACCACGTCGCCATGAACCTGACACGCTAAGCAGCTCAATCGGACACCTTCTGCGAAGAAGCCAGTTGCGCGCGCTTGGCAGTCAAATGCACAAAAATGACACATAATATACGTATATGATATACGTATAACCTAGAACACAAAATAGAAAACAGACAAGACATGCCATTTTGTTTATACCTACAATTATAACTATTATTATCATTATTATGATGATGATTATGATTATTACTAATACTAACCATTCTATTGTTCTCAATATTCTTACTGTTTAAGAGCGCGAAACCACCGAAGTTCAGGGCTTCGGGCTGAAGGGGGCCCGTGCTTTGCTGCCTGAGGCCCTGTCAGGTTGACCGGGCAGGCTGTAAACGGTACAGCTTGATTCCGTCATCGTTTTCAACTCCAAGCACTATAAATCCCAAGCCTCGAGACCCATTTACAGCTCCGCGGTCCGCATTCTCGCCGCGCGGCCCAGTCCAACTCTTAACGCTAAACGCTGAACCCCGAAACATTCAAAGGGTTTAGGGTCCAGGGCTTCTAGACTGAGCCCTCTTCCCATACCCTGAAACACCCCTATTGGGCCCCCAAAGCAAGCACTTGTAAGTGAAGGCTCGACATTACTCCTTCTGTGCAAAGCCCAGTGGCCCTCACCACGAGCTCGGCCCCGATATTGCTCACAGCTGCTGCTGCCTCAGCATAAGAGGTACATAGAGAGCAGCAGGGTTGGGCTTCGGGGTGGTTGGGCGTTGAGTTTGGGAATTACAGTTTAGAATTTGGAAGTGGAGACGAGCTTAGATTGCAGTGTCGGGAGTGCTGATGGACAGAATCCTGCACGCCTCAAGTACCCTAAACTAGGGGACTACGTGGTATGTACCAGGGTTGTGCCCATCAATAGTATTTGGAGGATCATGGGCCTTAGTAAGTATGGCTATAAGTACCTTAATTGGGTTTATCAATATAGTTACCTTAATCATAACCGTAATTACTAAGTCCAATGATTCTTTAAGTAGCACTTGCGCTTTGAGCTCGGCTCAGGCTTCGTCGGGGTGGTCGAGGCTCTGGCTTTCCGTGTCTCAAGTGCAAGCTGGAGCCAGTATGCTTGAGGTCTACAGTAGGGTTCAGGTGAGGGCTTAAGGTGTAGGGGTTAGGACCTGCATACTTAGACTACAGTTAGTGGGAGGCCAGCATTCTACTACGGACATAAGCCCTAAGCCCCAGTAAAGAAGTTGTGGTGGGGAACCCTGACAAAAACAAGTACTTCTTCTTCTTCTTCGGGCCCCGAGCCCAGCGCCCCGGCATAAACCCGGGCCATCAAAATTTGGGGTTCAGGGGTGTCAATGGTTTAAGTTTTGGTTTTGGGGTTTAGGGTTCGAGATGCCTTGTTTAGAGATTAGTGACTAGTAGCTGGCTTTGGGGGATTAGAATGGCGGGCTTGGGGCCGAGGGCTTCACTTCGTTTCGGGCTCGGGTTTACTCAGAAATTGAAGGTTTGCCACCACACGGACTTGTCGATATGACGCCATCGTATGGGGAAACCCTTCTAAGCGATTCTGAAACCCCTGTGTAGGAACCTGTAAAGCCCTATGCAAAGGCTTGGGAATCCCTGAGCCCTTATGAAACCCCTCTAGACCCTAAAGCCCCAAAACCCTGAAACCCTAAAACCCTAAACCCCCTAAAGCCACAAAACCCTAAAACCCCAAACCCTAAAGCCCGAAAACCCCCAAAACCCGAAAACCCTACAGCCCCAAAACCCTAAAACCCCAAACCCTAAAGCCCCAAAACCCCAAAACCCGAAAACCCTAAAGCCCCAAAACCCTAAAACCCTAAAACCCTAAAGCCCCAAAACCCTAAAACCCGAAAACCCTAGAGCCCCAAAACCCTAAAACCCTAACACCCTAAAGCCCCAAAACCCTAAAACCCTAAAACCCTAAAGCACCAAAACCCTCAAACTCTAAACCCTAAAGCCCCAAAACCCTAAAACCCTAAAACCCTAAAGCACCAAAACCCTCAAACTCTAAACCCTAAAGCCCCAAAACCCTAAAACCCCAAACCCTAAAGCCCCAAAACCCTAAAGCCCTAAACCCTCCAAAACTCCGAACCACGGCACAGGAAGGAACTTCGGGTTCCGGCTCTGGCACGGAGGTGCAAGAGTCGCAGCCAGCACAGGATTGCCAGTCCTCTGAGTGACGCAGAGAGCCCAATACCCTTTAATTACGAAATATGGCTTAAATCATTATATGAGGCCCTACATAATTTAAGCTATATTCCTTAATTAAGGGGGAATTGGGCTCTCTAGGGACTTCAGCCTTTCAAGGGTGGTACTTGGAGGCCCAGGGGACTTTGTAAGTAGGTTAGAAATAGGGCTATAAGTACCTTAAATGGAGTTACCCCAATTACAACCCTACTTATAACCTACTTAGTAAGTCCCCTGGGCCTTTAAGTAGGGCTTTCGAGTCTCAAGGCTTGAGGTTTCTGCAGCATGTAGGGTTCGGAGGTTGAGGGCCCGGGGTGTTGGGTCTAGGTTCTCGGAAAGAGGATTGGGCCTGTTGCTGCTAGCTCTACAGTGTTCCTCTTGAGCTTTGGCTACGAGCTTTGATGGGTTGTGGGTTTATGGTGATGGGTTTGGGGCTACCTTTTCGGGGTTTCGGATTTAGGGCTTTAGGGGTTTAGGGCTTTAGGGTTTGGGTGTAACAGTTTGGCTTAAGGAGGTTGGGCTTTACTTCCTGATCTTGGAAGTATGGGGCTTAGGAGCTTAGAATTTAGCTTGGATGTATTCGGGCTCGGGGTGGGGGGCTAGCTGAACATGGAAGCCCTCCAATTGAAGCCCCGTCGCACAGAGCCCATTCCAAGTGTTGACAACATACGAGCACCAGAAGCGGCACTTCCCACCTGAGGATCTTTGCATCAATCAAAAGATGGCGCAAACGGTGTAACTGAAAAAAGCAAATGATGCTGGACTCCAGTCCAAGTAGCTTGAAGGTGCTTCAGTTGTTGCGGCACTGGGAGTGGTCGCAGCAGTCGTCAACACCGTCGTTGACAGCGTTGTGATGCTAGTGGCCGTGGTCACCGTCGTGGTGGATAACGTTGTCCCGGTCACCGTGCCGGTGGCAGTGGCTGTCGTCACTGTGGTCGTGGACAGCGTTGTACCAGTCTCTGTAACGGTGGCAGTGGCTGTAGTCACCGTGGTCGTGGACAGCGTCGTACTGGTCCCCGTGCTGGTGGCAGTGGCCGTCGTAACAGTGGTCGTGGACAGCGTCGTACTGGTCACCGTGCTGGTGGCAGTGGCAGTCGTCACCGTGGTCGTGGACAGCGTCGTACTGGTCACCGTGCTGGTGACAGTTGCGGTGGTCCCTGTGGTGGTTGACAGCGTCGTACTGGTCACCGTGCTGGTGGCAGTTGCGGTGGTCACTGTCGTGGTTGACAGCGTCGTGCTGGTCACCGTGCTAGTGGCGGTGGCCGTGGTCACCGTCGTGGTTGACAGTGTCGTGCTGGTCACCGTGCTGGTGGCAGTTGCCGTAGTCACTGTGGTGGTGGACAGCGTCGTACTGGTCACCGTGGTGGTGGCAGTTGCGGTGGTCACTGTCGTGGTTGACAGCGTCGTGCTGGTCACCGTGCTAGTGGCGGTGGCCGTGGTCACCGTCGTGGTTGACAGCGTCGTGCTGGTCACCGTGCTGGTGGCAGTTGCGGTGGTCACTGTGGTGGTGGACAGCGTTGTACTGGTCACCGTGCTGGTGGCAGTTGCGGTGGTCACTGTCGTGGTTGACAGCGTCGTGCTGGTCACCGTGCTAGTGGCGGTGGCCGTGGTCACCGTCGTGGTTGACAGCGTCGTGCTGGTCACCGTGCTTGTGGCAGTTGCGGTGGTCACTGTGGTGGTGGACAGCGTCGTGGTGGTCACCGTGCTGGTGGCAGTTGCGGTGGTCCCTGTGGTGGTTGACAGCGTCGTACTGGTCACCGTGCTGGTGGCAGTTGCCGTGGTCACTGTCGTGGTTGACAGCGTCGTGCTGGTCACCGTGCTAGTGGCGGTGGCCGTGGTCACTGTGGTGGTGGACAGTGTGGTACTGGTCACCGTGCTGGTGGCAGTGGCCGTGGTCACCGTGGAAGTCGCAGTGGCAGTGGTTTCTGTCACTGTCGTCGGCATTTCCAGCAGCGGCGCAAAGTTCACATTGCTTGCATCGCCTCCCTGGGCACTGCTGCCCCAAGCACGCACTTCCTCTCCGCTCAATGCCACAAAAGCGAACTCGTTGGAGTACACCTGGAAGCCTGTGAAATCGCCACTGCACTCTCCGCCGAACCCCGCGGAGCCCCAACACCGCGCGATGCCGGTGACCTTGGAAGGCCAAGCTGCACGCAGAAGGATGGTACTGCGCTTCATTCGGTGTTCAGGGTTCAGGGCTTGAGTGTTCTCGGCTTAGGGGTTCGGTTTTCTCGGAATGATGGTTTAGGCTATAAGGCTTGAGGGTTTGGGGCTGTGGGGTTTGACCAGCAATGTCGATGCTTCCTTGACTCTTAGCGAGTCGAAGAAATCGGGATCATGAAATGTCAATCACAAGCTTAACGCTGCCTCCGCTGGGGACGAGACCAGTTTTTGAAGAGCACCCCCTGGATTCGAATCTGATGCTCTCGGGCTCATCGGGTTTACCGGTTTTCCCATTTGGGAGTTTCCGAAAATAGGGGACCCTATTATAAGACCCTAAATAGTAGGATCCTTAATATAAGGAAACTCCCATTTGTAGCCCAAAACTGCAACTGCTCATCGAAAATTTTCCAGTGCACCTGGACGCAGAGGTGGGGGAGCTAACGAGCTTCAAGCCCATTTCAGCACACGGTCAAGTGATGAATTCCACTGAGCAGCGGGATTCATAGCCATGAAGGCATAGCCGGTGGCATACACGTTGGTGAAGCCCTCGAAGGAAATGCCTGAACAATCGCCTGGCCGTGGCACAGGATCTGACAGATGATGCCACCGCCCACCGTCCAGGTCCGGCTGCGGGGTTCTCACGTGATGTAGGGGCCTTAATAATTAGAATAGGGTTCCTGACGATAGAAGGAGATTAGTTCGAGACCCCATCAGGGTTCCTTAACAGGACCTTAAAGGGGTTCTAGAAGGGTTTATACAGGGTACATAGTATAGGGGCCTTAATGATTCCAAGAGGGTTTGGGGGTAGATCTTACCATACCTGTAGTTATAATAAGGAACCCCCAATGCCATATTCTAATTTCTATGCCGCCACGCACACACCATCGTTCCACTCTGTTCTGCCCAGACACAACAGCGTGAAACAGACATCTGCGCGAATGATGCTCCCAACGCTGCCGTACACATAACTAGCTACACATGCACCAACCCTAAAGCCCCAAATAGGAAAACCCAGAAACAAAACACCAAAACGCTCTTCCTGCTCCGAGCCCTCAAAAAGTAGGGCCGCCTCCGAAAGACGCGTGGCCCCAGCACCTCGCCAGGCCGTTCACGGCATCGAGGGCCACAAAGGCCGCACTGGTGTGGTAGATCTGGGAGTTGCTGGTAAAGAAGACCTCAGTTTGTGACTTGAGATAGGATGAAGCTTTATGAAACACCTGACGGCAAAAATTCAACCCTCCTAATTAAAGAGCTGGGAATTGCCGGTAAAGAAAACCTGAGGGAGGTCACAGAACACGATCCTTCATATCAGGCCTTCTGCGAGGATTCTATCAGTGTCTACAGGAGCTACAATTTTCTCCTGGGACATTATGCAGGGGCCTGAACAACTCAAAAAGCTCTTTGGGGGTATATTCAGAGTGCACTTACGCAAGGAATGTGGGCGCTGCATCATTCTAGACATTGCACCCTCTTCCCTCAACCCTAAACCCCCAAACCCTAAGCCCTATGAACCCTAAACCCCAAAGCTTTGCGTCTTCGGGGCGTTGCTGCAGTCGCCTCCGTTGTCCGCATTGCCCCAGCATTGGCCGCTGCCACTTTTCAGAGCCAAGAAGGCGGAGTCCGTGGAGTGGATCTGCACCTTGGAGACCAAGTTGCCCCGCTTTGGGGGTTTAGGGTTCTTTTGGGGGTTTGGGGTTTTAGGGTTTCGGGCTAAAGAGCTTGGAGTTTGTGGCTTATGGGTTTAGGGTTTATGCGTTCAGAGTTTGGGCAATACGGAAGTTTCCGAAAATACGGGGTGCCGCATCCGAAACTCCCATACGGCTTATGCTCTAGAGAGGCAGGCTTCGGGGCTTGATGACCATGTATTCATAGGGATCCTTAGGGGTGTAGGGGGGAGGGGTGTAGGGGACTATATTTCCTTAAATAGGCCTTATTAGTCCTTATTATCGGCCTTAACCCTATCCCCCCTCCCCCTACACCCCTAAGGATCCCTATGATGTATGCAGCGAACCCCAGAAAGTTGGAACATGGATTAGGGTGAGTAGTGCCAGGATTCCCTATACCTTACCTTAAGGGCAGGAGGAGAATGATGTTCCAACTTTCTGGCTTCTACTATAAGCTCTTGGCAGACTGTCACAAGGACTTTATCATGTAGGAACCTGACTAAGAAACCTTGGTCTTTACTAGGGTTCTCTGTATGGATCCAACTATTTGGGGGTTATAGGCCCAAGGTTTTTTCATCAGGTTCCTACATTAACGCTGTATTTGGATCGTTGCAAGGGTTTCCCGCCCCACACACTCTCACGCGCCTATCCTGTGACAAAAGCAGCTTTCTGGGGACGCCTCTGATCTCAGGCCCTCGACCCTAGACGCGGCGTGCACTCCCCACCACGAACCGCAATGAGTCCATCAAGAAAGAGTGTCCGGACTGGTGAACTCTTTCCATGACTATAAGAAGCCCTCTAGAACTTGAGGAACATCCTTTCACTGAAGCGCAAAAACACACGTGCTTGACTGTCGCAAGCGCGTTGCCCCAACTGAAGACCATAAACCCCAAACCCTAGTCCCGTTCAGAAGCTTTTATGCCTAAGCCCCAAGCCCTCAACCTGAAAAGAACCCTCAACCCTAAACCTTAAACCCCCAAACCCTAAACCCTAAAACCCTAAAGCCCTGGACCCTAAACCCTAAAACCCTAAAGCCCTAAAGCCTTAGACCCTAAACCCTAAACCCTCAAACAGGGGCAACTTGTTGGGCTCTCTCTCCCCCGCCCCAGCCGAGGATCGTCGCCCTGGAAATCGATGCTGCTGCAGTCGCCTCCGGCTTGGCTGTTACCCCAACACCTGGGAGATTACATTAGGAGCTTAAGGCTAAGGGTTTAGGGATTTGGGGTTTAGGGTTTAGGGCTCAGGGTTTAGGCCTGGGAGATCACATAAGAACTTTTTGTGTTCCGACTGAACATAGATCACTACGGCCGCCTTTGTGAAGGCACCGCCCCGCAAAAGCAACCCCTGCTAGTGTTTGGGATCTTGGTACTATAAGGGCCTGAATAATTGGAATACTGTAGGGTTTTGGTGCCCATTATTATACTATAATTAGTAAGGAACCCCACAAATACTGCTGGTAATTATCAATTTCCCTCTCAGGGGGGGCGGGGGTCGGATCCGTGGCTGATGGACTTATGGCGGCTAATGTAAGGGCCTGAATAATTCGACTAGGGTTTTGGGGGTTCCTTATGATAATTATGGTATAATATACCCCCAAACCTTCTAACTACTAAGGCCCCTACACTAGGAAGCTTTGGAAGCCCAGACTTTAGCGAGCAAGGTTTAAATAGGGTTTGGGGATGACCAGGTTCTGGGTTTGTGCAGGATAGGGTTCAGGATTCTGAAGTCTGGGAGTGTTTAGGGTTTAGGGTTTAGGGTTCGAGCTCATGGTCAAGGAATCCGGGCTCCGATTCCCATGGTCACCCAGCTACCAACTATCGGGACAGGCACACAAAACTTTGAATCACGGACTGCCTTTTGCTCGGTGGCACAAGCTTGGCAGTGCTGAAAAGGCATGACAAGACCTTTGACCTTGTCTTAAAGATTCAAGATGTCAGCTATACTATGCTCCCATATTCCAGAAACCCCGACGCAGAAACCCTAGATAAACCTAAATCCTGAATGCCAAAATCCAAAACTCCGAACTCTGAACAATAAGTCAATAAGTTTTCACACTAGAATCGACTCTGGTGGGATTCACGGATTCACTTCTGTTCCACCACTTCAATCTGAAATTCTCAAAACTCGCCCCTGAGAAACCGCAGCCCAATACATTATCATTATATATTATCTCTTGTGTAATGGTCGGTTATTGAAGATCCGCGTTTAGAGTTTCGGGGTGGGTCCCTATTATAATAAGGAACCTATCGTTTAGGGTACCCAAAAAAGGGACCCTAATTTTGAGAACTACCCAGAAAGTAATAACATTGTACTAACATAAAACTCAGAACCCTGTTGTAGGTTCAGGGGTTCTACATTGCATTTAACACCCTCTACAGCCCTCATTATAACGTTTATAGAGCCCTGAACGCAACCCGCCCCAAGCCTCAAGGAAAGGCAAGTGGCTCACCCTGACCACTGTTGCGGTTCAATGCCACAAAGGCCTGGCCGTTGGTGTACACGTCTGTGATGCCCGTTAAGCTGACGGAACTGCAATCGCCTTCGTCAGAGGTTTAGGGTTTAGGGTTTAGGGTTTAGGGAGAGCGACACGGTTGCGTCGAAAAGTTGGGTTTAGTGTTTAGGGCTCCCTGACACAATGATGGGAGGCCAAAATGGGGTTTAAGATTCTTGGGATGGGGATTCCTTAATATGAACCCTATCCTGGGAACCCTAATTCCTTCTAAACCCCATAGGCTAAAACCCCTTCTGGCCTCCTATGACACGAGTCCATGCATGGCAGGGTGCGGTTAGTATGATCAGGGGTACTAACTACAGCCGTCTTAAAGGGTAATGTTATTTCCAAAACCGAAACCCTAAAGCCTGAACCCTAGAACCCCTGAACCCTTCCCTCAAAGCCCTCTGGAGCCTCCGTAGAGGCCGAAGCCCCAGCATTGAATCGTGCCGGCAGCTTTGTTCAAGGCCACAAAGGCGTAGTCTCCAGCCACCACCTGGAGGCGACTGATCATAAGAGTCGTTTAAGGGTTCCTTTGAGGGCTGCTTCAACGTTCTACAAGGATTCTATATAGGTTGTTGTCAAAATTATGGTCCCTTTTTGGGTCCCGAATATGGTACGCCACCGAATATTCAGGGTACCCAACAAGGGACCACAGCTTTGACAACCACCGATGAAAAGGATCTGGGGTGCTGTGTGTGTTTTTAGTTGAGGTTTCGGAGTGTGCGGGTGTTCGCCGAAGTATGGCTTAAGGTTCACTCCGGCGTTCATGTACACCCCAAACTCAGGATCCCGATTATCGTCCCGACTACAGGGGGCAATCAGGGTATACGATCTTGATATTGGGGAACCCTCAGGAACACGATCAATAACTATCATGCCCCTTTTCGATCGGAGATCTACTTCAAGTGCTCCGATTTTTTTGGGAAGGGCCAACAACTATTAGGTTTGGGGGCTTTGGGATTGTCCAGGGTGGAGCAGGCGAGGGCTGAAGGCTTTAGTTACGGTTTGCTGGGTTTTGCTTCAGGCGTTCGGTTGAAACCGAAGCCGACAGCACTCCCTAAAGTTTCGGGCTCAGCGAGCTGAGCTTATGTCACAAATAGACCCAGGAGGACATGACCCCTTAAATAGGGGCCTCAACACGATCCCTTGATGGAAGTCTGAATAAGGCTCCATAGGACTTAGGGTTTCCGGTGTACGGTTTGGGGTAAAGGACAATTATTAGCAGCATCACAAGCCCCTCTCAGAGACACAGAGACACCTCTGATACAAACCCTGTTTCCCCAAATTCTAAATACTCATAAACCCTAACATACACCCAATTTCACACAGTATCATCAGAGGTATAGGACTAGCTCGAGACCTCGGTGACGCCAGAGAAATCCACCGTGCTGCAGTCACCGCCAAAAGAGCCTGGGTCCCGCTCAGAAAGAAACACTTCGAGGCTTGCTTTTCGAACCGTTACGGAGCCCAAACTGTAAAAAGTAAGAAGAACCCTTTTCTTGGGCTCCTTTTTGAAGCGTGTGGAAACCCACGCCAACAAACAGTGTCCATTATAAACCATCATCACCCCGAAACCCCTTATAAAGTACCTAAACCCTGCACAACCACGCCAAGTAAAAAGGAAGCGCAGGATTGACCAAGGAGCTGTGACCCCAACACTGCCCAGAGCTGCCACCTATCGCCACCTTTGCTGATTTCGGGCAGTTCAAAAGGGGCCTTAAAGTTAACGGTTCGCGTTTAGAGCTTATGGGCTTAGGCCTTGGGTACAAGTTCCTTTATTTAGGACTGCTCACAGGCAGGACCCGACTTCTTCAAGCTTCATTTCTGCGGCAAAGGCTTGCTGGTTCTTAAAACGCAACATGGTCAATTGCACAACTAATTCCGTCGGTGTGAGGATAGTTCTAGCAAACCCCAAAACAACCGAGATTTGCCGAGGAGCGAAGGCCAAGAGAGACCCGTAAATCTTGCTGACCTGGGAGAAATCCACGCCACTGCACTCGCCCCCATAGGCCGCGGAACCCCAGCAGAGTCCTCCAAAACTGGGCTTTCGGGTTTTGGGGTCTCGGATTTAGGGTTTACGGTTTCGGGTCGAGGGTTCGGGATTTGGTATTTGGGTGGTTGTCAAAATTATGGTCCCTTTTTGGGTCCCTAATCTAATACGGCACCTACTATTTAGGGTACCCAAAAAGGGACCCTAATGTTGAAAACTACCCATTTAGGGTTTAGTGTAAGGAGCTCTACGCACAACACTGAATTTACGAGCGAGAAATAGAAAGGCCATGGCCCCAACCTCAAACCCAAAAGATGCTGCGCATAACCTGAAAGCCCCCTAGGCCATTCACTCATATGTCACCTGACAAGACCTCAACCCTAAGCCCAGCACCCTAGACCCTGAAGGCTAGAGCTGCAAGCCCTTCAGTTTTGGGGCAGCCATTCTTCCATGGTTGTCGGGTTCCTACCTTGTCGGGGGTCGCTTGAATGGCCACAGCTTCAAGCTAATCTCGGCCCCCAAAACCATCGAAGCCCGGAAACACTAAACTCCGGCAAAAAATATGAGCGATGCCCAGATCCCACCATCCTGCAGTTTAGGGTTTTGGGGAGTTCAAGCAAAAGGCTCTGTACCACTCGCTTACAGGCCCCTAGATCAAGATCAATAGCCACGGTGATCTGCAGTTGGATCTTTCACAAAACACGATTATAGAATGCAAAACCCTAAAAGCGCTAAAAGCCTTATACCCGAAGCCCTACGAAGCCTTATACCAAAAGCCCCAAAGCCGTATACACTGAACGGAACCTAAAATGGAACCCTGAAGGAAGGGACGATCATGGAAAATAGGCTTCAAAAGTAGGGCCCCTTTAAGGGTACTATACTTGGAGGATCATGGGACTTAGTAAGTATGGTTATAAGTACCTTAATTGGGATTATAAGTATAGTTACCTTAATAATAACCGTAATTAGTAAGTCCCATGAACCTTTAAGTAGGGTACTATATTGGGGGCCCCTTTGTAGGAACCTCTTTGTAGGAACCTCAACCGTCCAACCTTCTGCGCCCGGCCTCGTCCATTCACAGCATCCAGCGCCGCGAAGCTGTAGTCCTACTGTCGCCAGGTAACTGAGAGTTTAAGGGGTGTAGGCTGTAAGGTCCAGGTTTCAGAAGCATGCAGAAGCTTGGCAACAGAAACCGTAGGCAGGAATCTTGCAACCGTACATAGGATAAGATAGGGGCCCTAAATTACTGGTAATAGTATCCCCTCGTAGTCTTTGCCTAATTTTCTACTTTCCGACATTGGGCTACTGGTGGCTGCTTGATTGGCCTCTGACAGGCAGGGAACATTTTGCCACCATCCACACAATGCAAGAGGAGCCGTGACAGTGCTGGATCTTGTCCGGGCTGTTTTGAAAACAAATGGGAGTTTCCGAAAATAGGTGACCGTAATACAGTACCCGAAATATTTATATGATGACCCCAAAATAAGGTACCCCTAATTTCGGAAACTCAAGATGGTCAATGCGGGTCGGCGCTTCTGTGGATTTTCGGTCGTCCACTGCGGTTTGGTGCACTGACCTGTCTATACACATGGGAAATCAGAAACATACTGTTGTGCTCCGACGTCCTGATAGAACCCTTATAGGGAACTCCAGAAAGTTGGAATATGGATTAATGGTAGGATCCCGTATAATTTACCTTAGAGGGGTTACGATAATGATATTCCAACTTTCTGGCTTGTACTGTAAAGGAACCCTTGAAAGGTCCGAGTTTGATTTAAGAACTCAGCAACAATTTGGGAGAACTGAGCGTCGGTGGCTGCCACGTCCGTGATCCCAGAGAGGTCTAGGCCGGAACAAGCGCCTCAAAAAGAGCTGAAAAGGCTGCACTTGAAGGCTCATGGGACTTAGTAAGTAAAGTTATAAGTAGGTTATAATTAGGGTAACTCCAGTTAGGGGACTTATAACACCAGTTATAACCTACTTACTAAGTCCCATGATCCTCTAAGTAACTTTGAAGGGATCCTGCAAGGGGGTTCCCATAAGCGCGCCTTAAGATTTTGGGAATATTCACCTTTACGAGGGGATCATGTAGGGGTGCCTTCAAGGGTTCGCTGCCAGACTTCTCAGGGTTTAGGGATGAACAGGCTGCGGGTGTTGAACGGGTTAAATTTGATACTGGTTCTACAGGGGTTTAGGGGTTTAGGATTTACGGTTTTTGGTTCTGTAAGGGTTCTCCAAGGGTTCTTATGATGGGTTTTGCCGCCCGTAGGCTTGCGTTTAAGGGTGTCAAGCTTTGGTGATTGGAGTTTGCAGGGCCTTGGAAGCATCTATCTTAGACTCTACGTGTCTGGCATTCAACTGTCAAGGGGAGAGGATAGGGTTAGGGCATGTGAAAACAACATTTTCAAACGAATGGCAAATCGCAGTAGCAGCCGTACTGGTGCACTGGTTTCAAGGACGGCAATAAGAGCTATGAGCAATGACCATCATAGCGACGGTAAAAGTGACAATGATGTTAGTGACAAGGCCAGCAGTACCAAGGTTGAGACTGATGTAGACCCCTTATCTATGAGCCCCAGCTGTCTAAGAGCCCTAACATTCGGATCCCTATCATAATCCCTATGAGGCTAAAGAGGCTAAAAAATGAGGCTCCTACTTTAACTATGATTGCCCGCCTCCATTGTCGTCTGACCCCCAGCACTCGCCGCCCGCGCTGCTGAGCGCAAGGAAGGCGAAGGCGTTGGCCTTTACCTGAAACGAGCACAGAATCGGTACTTACACCCTAGGCTTTAATGTATCGGGCCCAGGTTAAGAAGTTGTCGTGGTGAACACACTTCCAAAGAGAGATATAAGAGAGAGAGGGAGAGAGAGGGACGGAGAGAGAGAGAGAGAGAGAGAGAGAGAGGGGGACAGGGACAGGGACAGAGACAGAGACCGAGACCCAGACGGAGATGGAGATTGGGACAGCGACAGAGAGAGAGAGAGAGAGAGAGAGAGAGAGAGAGAGAGACAGAGATCTTTGTATGCTTCTTCTCATGTTGTTTGCCCAAACCTCATGTCTTCGGTGGTGAGCTGCTGGAACCATGATCTGAATTGTTCGCACTTCAGGCGAGTTGAACCCTCAGTCCTCAGCCTCGAGAAGAACTCCACTTTGCAATCGGTTTAGGGTTTAGGGTGTAGGGCCAGTTTAGGGCTCAGGGGATAGGGCTGAGGTTTGGGGTTTCGGGTTAAGGTTTACGGCATCGGGTTTAGCATTTATCAACCAATGCGATCGTAAACCCGAAGCCCTAAACCAGACATTCCTAAATCGAAGGTTGAGCCGAAACCCTGAACGCCAGACTCTAGACTCTAGACCCACTCCTGAAGCCCTCAGGCCTCTCAACCCTGAACCCTACACCCAAAACCCCAAAAACCCACACCCGTCACACCTCCAGCACATTCGAGAAGTCCACCGCACTGCAGTTACCACCGAAGCGGCTATCACCCCAACAGGCTCCCTTGCCTGCCAGGGTTGGCTAGGATACCCAGTAACCTAAGAATAAAACAGCCTCTCTTTTTGCTATTGGGTAACTTTTATAAGGAACCTAGGACTACAAAAAGGGAATAAGGGTACTACTGGGCATCCTAGTTGGGGTTTAAGGTACAGAGGTTTAGGGCTTTAGGGTTTATGGTGCAGAGGTTTGGGGTTTTGGGGTTTAGGGTTTGGGGTTTAAGGTACAGGGTTTTGGGGTTTTGGGTTTTTTGGGTGGGTTTAAGGTACAGAGGTTTGGGGTTTTGGGTTTTTTGGGGGGGTTTAAGGTACAGAGGTTTGGGGTTGTGGGGTTTAGGGTTTAAGGTTCAGAGGTTTAAGGTTTTGGGGTTTAGGGGTGTGGTATGGGGTTTAGAAGTTCCGTTGAGGGTTCCAGGGTTTGGGGGTTCCCTGCCTGTCACGGTGTTCACCAAGGTAAAGGCATAGTCGTTCGATGTCACCTGGCGGCCGAACATCTTGAAAACCCCAAACGCATTTCGCACGGGGTCTGTCCTCTAGCGCCCGTCGAAGTTTCGGTATATGCTATTTCGAACTTTTCCCAACTTGCTCACCTCGATGTTGCTGGCCGCAGCCACGCTGAAGACCAAGCTCAAGAGCCACGCCATTCACTCTACAACCCTGCAGCTCGACGCACCGAACTTTCAAGCGCCGGAGACCCTTTGAACGAGCGGTGAGCAGTTCTCTGACTGCTCAAGGCTTGAGTATACAAACTGCCGCAATAGAGACATAGAAAGGTGTGCTATAAGGTATTTTAGGAGGTGCCTGAATGATGAAACCATAAGAAAATACGATTCGTAGCCACTCAACTCAACCACTTAACTACAGGGAGTAGCCGTTGCGGTGTGCATCGAAGGTTCAGCAAACCCTATAACCCGAGACCCTAACGTCCTGCACAGGCATTGAGGGTTTAGGGTTTATTGAGGGTTAACGTAGAGTTTGAGGGCCCATGCCTGAAACAAAAAACTAATGGGTTCTGCACTTGGGACTGTCTGTCTTCACACCCGAACAGACGAGGTCCGGCAAAAGATAAGGCGTTTACGTTACTATAACTAAGGAGAGCTTCTCAGTGTGAACTAAGGAAACAATACCTCCACTAACAAGACCTTCTTACTATGAGTCTATGAACTTCGGCAAATTTCTAAATCCAGTTTAATCGGGCTCTCGGTTACGATCTTTGCAGGACTTATGACTGCACTAAATATCTGGTAAAGAGCAACAGCTAAAGTCGCTTGATTTAAAGCCCTCATAGCTACACATGGCCCTGAACCCTAGAAAACCCTGCCAGGAATGCCGGAGCAAAGTAACCCCAGTTGGGAACCGAGCCTACAACGATACCTACAGCTACCCGTGACCCTGCTCGCATGCTGGGGGTCG